TGCTAGCTTAGTAGCAAATGATTCATCGGCTCTTGCTAATGCCTGTGGAGATGACGGAACGCGCATACTAGAAACCGCGGTCACAGCTTCAGCAGCAAAAGCAGGGGGCAGCTCTCCGCTGCAGGCGCCCTTGGCACGGAAATGCAGCGGCCCGGCCACTGCGGCGTGTGGAACACCCAAAGCTGTACGAAAACAAGGCATGTCGTGTTTCTCTTCTACTGTTCAGAGGGGCCAGCATTTCCGTGAGTGTCAGCTTAACACACAGCTTTAAGTCATAGCCGAAGACTGCAGAGCTCGAAATGAAATCGTTAATCTTAAGCACACAGAGCTGTAATTTCCTGAGACAGAGACTGTAGCTTCATCTTCTCGGTTGGGAGTTAGTGTGTGATGGCTGCTCGTTATTAACTGGCAAAATTAGTCCTGTGTCCGAACTGCCGTTTCTGTTGCTGTAGCGAATGCAACACGTGATTGCGGAACTCTTCCGCTTGCACTACACACTTTCCTCTATTTCGCGCGCCTTCTTTTCGTGACCGTGTTGTGTTGCTGCTGTAGCGAGAAGAAGCGCAAGCTGCTCCTCGCTAGAGACTTTTCAGCGTACAGGACATAAGCAGCAGCAGCAAGAGCGGCAAGTACAGAAGCAACAGAGAGAGCAACTGGCAGTCCCAGGAGAGCAGTCAGACCGTAGTGTCGTTCAGCAAGCCCACCAGCACGAAATGCCTGTAACAGTGCGGCTTCCAGACAGTGCTCCGCCAAATGGATGCCGAGAAGCTGCAAGCACAGGAGCAAACAGCTCTAACAGCATTCAAGGGACTGACGTCAAGCGTCGAGCGCTGACAGCGAGTTCAAAGCTGACCGAGAGGAGCAACCGGGCGTCGCTGCATGTACTTTTGGATGAGCCATCTTTTCCTGCCCTGGACCTTGCAGCTTCTATTAATAAGGCGCTGTTTGTTCAAGAACTTCATATGGAGGAAGAAGAGAGAGCTACAGAGCCAGCAGCAGCTGCTTCAGCTGCAGCAGCTGCAGCAGTGAACGAGGAACCTGCTAAGGACTCCCCGCCGGTGTCTAACGAACCACAGTCGCCTTCAGGTTCTTCGGGTATTCGCTTACTTTTGGAGCAGCCGAAGAAAAACTCCCAGCGCCAGCAGCTGGGGACTCAATTCGTGGTCGGTGGACGATTTTTTCCTCCGCGTGTGGTGCCCAGGCAGTTGCAGCAATCGCAGCGTCAACAGCAACAGCAGCCTCGTGAACATGTGCCCGCAACGGCTCCACATATGCGTCGCCCAGTCCTGAGACCTCGGCTGCCACCGCCCGCTGTGGTGCCGGGGAGGCACTCTGCACGTTTTCAATGTGCAGCTTGGGGAATATTGAAGGGGACAGGGCATCAGCGAGCACAGGGTAAAGAGGCGGAAGAACAACAGCAAAAGCACCAACCACAGTAGGAGTAGTCTTTTGTTGGCACGAACACCCGAGGGGCACTTTAAATCTCGGGGTGCTCCTTTTTAGGCTTTTCAACATAGAGGAGAGGCATAATCTGGCCCTGCGTGCTCAGGGAAATCAGAAAAAGGGCAAGATTAATTTCAGACCTTTGCCTGGCAGTCACGCCGAGCTTAAGGCCCTTTCTTTTATTTATTTGTTTTCCTTACTTTGGATATCTGAATTTACTTTGCAGATCACAGAGTGATCTTATTTGCCGCGTAGATAGTAGAGAAGCAATGCATGCGGTCAAAGGAGGCTGCACGGCAGGCGTGTCCGCATTCTAGTTCTGATAGACAGACACAGCACGCAGCCAAAGGAGGTCCCTGGCCGTTGTGTTCCTCTAAGTAAAGTTTTCCTTGACTGCATGTACTGTGACGATTCAGTCGTGCAATGAGTCCCTTGGGGGATATATAAACCAGGTAAACACGCCATCTGTGCCCGACGGGAGTGTAGTGCAAAACACGCCGCTTAGGCCGGTGCGTGTCTCCCCCGGTGCAATGCAACCTACGTTCCTTTGAGATGAGCAGGGCCTTTTTTCTGGTGTAGTGTAAACCAAGCTGAAGTCCGACTTCAACTTATGCGCTCTACTTCTTAAGGCAGTAAGAAAGGAGACAAGGCCAGCTGGCAAAGTGAACTGGTCCCCTTACTCGTGAAGGGCGAAGCTAATGTTCACAGGTTTGTGGATAGCGTTATTTTCATCTTTTCCTACTTTTCATTGGCACAAGTGCTGCGGCGGCCATTGTTACGTACTGTGCGTCAGCGGCTCAACGGATTGTTGTGTGGAGTGGTGGAACAAGAATTGCAAAAGGGACGTAAAATGCGTGCCATAAATAGAATGGAAGACACATGGCATCAAACAGTCCCCAAACAAAAGTGACGGTGACAGTTGCAGGGTGCAGTCTAGGATCAGGCCCAAAGAAGGCAGCATCCATCCTCCTTCGGCTTCCTGGAACACGCCTCTTGGCTAGGAAAGCGACAAAGAGATGTGCAGTCTCTATTGTGCATGCTGTGAAGCCAAAACTGTGCTTCGGCCAATTACCAATTTCTGCTTCTTGCCGAGGGAAATGTGAAGCCTTATCGTTTCCCTGCCACACTCCAAGAAATGGTGCCTCCTTCCAACTCGGGTTCAACTCTGGAGTGAGAACGTGAAATTCGTTTTTTCCGCCTCATTCTCCAGTTCGTGTATTGCAAAACATTTGTTCTATAAATTGGATCGAATGGATGGAAAGGGACGATTCAAAATGGATCTATGGGACCATCGAAGGCACGCGTCTACGCAGTGCAGAGAACCACCGCATCCACCAGCACAGTAACGCGGTTAAAGAGGCCTACGCGTTTAACGTGCCAGCATATAAGTGTGAGAATGCCAGAGTGGCCGAATTCTGCAGCACTAACCTGCGCACTGGACGAGTAGCATAGCTGGGCAGTGCGCAGAAAAGCATGAAAAGCAAAAAGAAGACGTGGCAGTTGGTGCTCCACGTGTTGTATGGAGTAAATAGCCCATAATGCTTCCGAAAACGCGCATATTTGGTGTACGAGGCTGGTAGCAACGAAACATAGAGAGTGTCTCCCATGTTTTTGTAAGAAGGCGCAGGACAAGGAGGGGCCGAACTGTTCCCTGCCTGCCGTTCCTTGAATCTCAGGGCAGTACTTACAGCGTAGTCCATGAAATATTCGCACTTATTAGTGCCTCAATGAATCAAATTTCAATGTTAGGTTCTTCGCCGATGGACTCTCTTGCCAAGGGGAAGGCTTTACGGGCCAGCAGCAGCCCTCTAGTCAGCTCCGGCAACCCCACTCACTCCCAACTTTCCGTTGGCATCTTCCTACACTCCTTATCCTGTCCCGTTTGGGCTTGCTAATGAGCTATTGAATAAAAGTGAGCAGGAAGTGAATGAATCAAAAAAGCGCTCAAAGGGTTGAAGTGGGTGAGCCTCCTCCTCGGTGTCTTTGCTACTGGGAAGGGACGAGGCCCCCGTGGTCTGCCTGTGCCGGCCCAGTGTTGTGCAGCCGCACACTAGGCCCCGCCGTTTAATTCTCAACACTTACAATGTTAACTTTCTATATTGATTTTGGATATAGGTCATTTACATGAGAAGCCCTCCCACAGCTGAGAAGACCCTACCGAACGATTGCCGCCTTGATCTGCGGCCGACTTGCCGCAAGATGACGCGTCTGACCAGTGCGTGCAGCCTTCCCGTCAAGTCTCCCAGCAAACCCCAATGCCAAAAAACATTTTGCTTTTATTGAAAGTCTAACAAATAAGCCGGCAAATCTTTGCCCGCAGACATATAGCGGGGGTCCCTCTTTGTCCTTCAAGTGGCATGAAGGGAATGGCGAGCACTTCGGCCCACACCATATAAATCAGCAGCAGCACCACGTCTGGGAACATAACGCTTATTCTCTTGAGTTGTTCATGAATGCAGTACTTTATGGGATGCTGCTATGTTTCCATGGATGTGCAATGGGGTAAACAGACTTTTTGTCGGATGCTCTGGGGCTTTGCTGCAGTTTTGCCCGTTGTCCTGGTGCTACACATTACCTGGGAAGCCATTCTTTGCTTGGCTAATCAACCGATAGGTAGGAAAATGGAAGAGAGTAGCTCTCAACTGCTAAGTGTCGTCACGTAGGAGGTCGGTAAAAATCGGATTGCAGGACTCTCCTAATCATGTGGCTGCATGGGAAGTGCATAATGCGTCATTTTCATCTAATGAACAGCCCAATAAATCCGCTACATTTTGGTACAGTTTGTCTGCTGCAGCTGTGCACGACTTCGGCACCACGAGCGTCGAAATCTCTCGCGTTTCTCAAAGTGCGCTCACAGCTCGTAGGTTTCAGCCCCTCTCTGAGTCCTGGATATGCCTGTTGGCTACGAGTGGAGGTTCTTTTCTCATTTCCCTTATGGCCATTTTTATGAGTGCTAGTATAGGTGCTAACTGGATCTTCTCTTTGTGCAGCACGGCTTCTCGAGGTGCAACCCGCCAATCAAGGCTCTTTGGTTTCAGCTGGCGCCTCCTTCCATTTGCAAGAAGGCAAGTAAAGGCTTATGAATGTTCCTGTCCAAGTTACGTGGATTTACACACCTGCTCGACTTCTTTGAGCCGGTGAAACACTGGAAATTGGCCTGCCAAAGGTTGGCTATACACCCACTTCATTCGTTACTGTGCACATTTCCGTGTTTCTACAGATGCTCGTCTTCTGAGAGTGGTAGAAGGGGAGACACAGCAATCCCACATTGGAGCGCTTCAAGACCCTGCTGGCCACTGTAGCGGACCAGAAGCATCTTTGACCCACTTCTGCATCACACTGAGAGAGTATGCAGCGGCGACTCTCACTGCGCAACAGCTAGGTGAGCACAGATGATGCGAGGTAGACTTAAACACATCTATAGTGGATGCTTTTGCTCAAGCTTCTGAAGGCTTTTATTATGATGCAGAGCTGTGTGCTGAGGGTGAGCAGAAGGCGCTGAGTTCGTCTACAAGACACTTAAGGAGCGAAAGGCTGAAGCGAAAGAACTGAAGAGAATGTCCAAGGCCAAGAGGAAAAATGATGCAAAGGCAAAGGCAAGCAGGAAACAGACTGATGGAAACAGCAGTGAGCGTCTTTGTGCGTGCTGTGCGTCACTCGTACTACTCTTCATCGAGCAATCCTTCAATACGATTCTGTCTTCGCAGCTCGACAAAATCGCTTAATGATCCACAGCTCTAACGAGTGCCCTTAGATCTAGCCTATACAAAGTCGAGGGGTTTAGATCCTTTTTACTTCGAAGACTTTAAACGAAACAAATATTGCTGCAGTGCTTTTGTTCTTCAGGAAAGTCCCCTGGTCAAAAGAAAAGTAAATCAAAAAAAGAAAAAAAAGGAAGCAAGACAGATGCGCCCAGCATGGTGCAGCTGCCCTCTCTGGGTGATCAGGCGGCTCGCCAACAAGAGCTTGCGAAGAACTACGCCGAGCAAGTCCAACGTGCAAGAGACACTGCAGGAGGGTCCAGTGAGCCTGCTACTCTTCCTGTGGCTGCAGAACATTCAAGTCAAAGTAGCTTGCAGCTTTAATTTTGAACTGTAAGCTTGCGTCTTTTTTTGATTGCTACGACTGTGCTGAAGGTGGCTTGGCGGGAGTGACTGCAGCAGCAATGAAAATATTTGATGGTAAGTTCTCGCCTTTGCAGTGCAGCGAAGCACTGGTCTACGTAGCATGCAGCAAAATCAGAATCCAGGAGCTTTCTGACTAGAATGACAGCGAAACTGAGCATATCCTCTGAGGCACTGATATGCAAGGCGTGAGGCTCGCTTTCTTTCCCCTGTTGCTGTGCTTGTTCAGCGGCTCTCTACCTTCAGGCTGGAAGTAAGCGCGACAATTAGATTTATTATTTTCGGTGCATCTTACGTTGCTAGAACATTTTCAAGTCGAGGGTTTTTTGTAATGCTTCGGAATCGGGTATGCACTTGCAGATTGCTGATCTTTGCATCCTCGCCCTTGTTTTCTGCTGCTCAGCGCTTTTGCTTACGGGAATGGCTAAGGAGCTTCTCAGCGGAATCGTGGCTGCTGCTGCTGTAACAACTGAGGGCACGTCTATCCAGCTTGACCCCGGCGAAGTTGAGGGTTTACTCAGGTCTGTTCTCGTCCAAGGCAGTTCTTTCGCCCAGCCGCTGGCACCCTTCTGCGTCTCCATCATTGAACAGGCCCTAAATCGTCTTAGCTCGAAGGCGAAGAACGCTGAGGAAACAACGGCGGAGGCGTTTTTGGCACTGCAAGACCTGGACGCGCTCGTGTGCAGCGTTGCAAGGCTTAAGGCGGAGCTAACAGCAACGCACTTGCAAGAGCCACCAGCGGCGATAAACGAAAGGGTCAAGTTGCAGAGCGCGGGAAAGGCTTATGCTGGAATTCCAGAAAGTATGAGCTCTCAGGTGATAGAGCTTGTCCTGTCGATAGTCGACGGTGCGTCTGCGTGTTCCACATGGACCCGAATGCAGTTGGCTGCGTGAGCCAAGGATAGTGGTCGTACAATGACAAGCGCCTTTAGATGCATCTTGCTAGTTCGGCGAATGCAGTGGTCACTATGACCATGAGCAAGATTTGTGTGTGCGTGTGCATGTATTGCCGGTGCTGTCAGAACCCGAAGCCATAACAGGTAAGAATCTGGGGTGAAATACGCAATCTAGCGAGGCTTCGTGCAGACAGGATGTTTTCATCTTATTCTTCGTTTTCTAAATATCCTTTTTCCGATTCTTTTGTAGTGGTAAAATACACAAGGACGTCATCAGGGAGCACTCAGCTAAGCAGAAAAGGGGCCAAAGTTTCTGTGGAGCAAACACAGCAGCCTCTGACAGTTCCATCGACCCCTCAAGTTGATATGAGTGGAAAAAGCCCCATTGTCGTGCCACCTGTTCCAGTCGTTTTAGTCACCCCTGGGTCCACACGAATTTCGGTTGAGAGCGGAGACCTGGAAAGCGCAGGGCATGGCACAGCAAGTGAAGTAAGCGCCACTGCCGGCGATGCTGCCAGGCTCTCAGCAAATGCTAGCTCTCACCAGCAAGCTGGTGATGAAGAAAGTTTGTCTTTACCTACAGTGGCATTGTCTGGCCAGCAACCTTCACCGACAGTGAACATAGTCGGCGCTGGACAGTCGGGATGGACTAGTATCCAAACGCGCTTTCCGTCTACTAACCAGCCCGACACTTCCCGAATCCATCTGCAAGGCCATCCTGTCTCAGCATCTCACGGAGCACAAGAGTCAATTCAGCTTCACTTTGGGTCACCGTTCGCTAGCGTACAGGGCTACATGTTACCTGACGGGCCTCCGACGGCCACTCAACTGATGCGTTTTGGTGAGGCTTCGCCTGTTCAGGGAGCGCAATCATCCTCTTCGGCCTCCATCGGCGTCGACAGTCGTCAGGAGGATCAAACGTCTCCTCGCATTCAACAAATACCCGTCAGATCGACTCCTGGAAGTGCAGAAATTGTTCACACAATAAGCCACTTGACGAGCTCACCCACGTCGGCATCAGCAAGCTCCAGTCCTTTAGAACAGGGTCAGACAAGTGCACATATCACCCTATCGCCCTCAAAGCAGGAGCCCGTCGGCGTACATAGTACCCAAAGCAGTTCTATTGAGCAAGAAGGCGGTCCATGGAATCAAACAGGCCAAACCGGTGTGCATATAATGCGCTTTGGAGACGGACAAAGTGGAATAACATCAGGCCGACTCGCTCGAACAGTCGATGCCGCACAGTTTACTGTTCCAGGCCTAGTTGGTACAGCTGTGCCTTTGACGAGTCTGCCCTTCTACAATTCTCTAGGGGAAACACCAGCATTTGGTGCGCGCTTTCATGGAGCACAAGTGGTAAGCCAAGGGCGGCCGCTTGTGGAGAGCAGTTGAATGGCAAGATTGTCACCTCGTTGCCAACATCCTTTGTTGTTCTTTCATTCCTCTCGAACATGTGCGGTTCCTCAGGATTATGCTCTTGGGAATACAGGGACCACAAATGACATCTGCGTTACGGAGTCGATGGTATTTCCAAGTGTAATTGCTGACAACGGCACGGAAACAAGCCCCGCTCAGTCTCTTGGAGCGCTCGCAGCCTCTGCTGTGGAACGCTGGGCACTACGGAAGGTGCACGAGGTTGTTCATGAATCAGTGACCCTGTTTCATGATACTGAAGCTATTAAGATGCACGCTAAGAAATTATGTGAGTGTAGCACTGGTTTTTGCGGCGACCGAATGGCCTCATTGCCCACTACAAAAGCATAGCAGTAGGCTACTGAGGCGTTAGCTGGTTACAGTGCTTAACAACAGATTCATGTGTGCTTTGCTTTGACAGTTACTATTTCCTACTGGATAAGCTTTCCAATGTTTGAACGCAGAGATCGCCAAATGTGGTTTGTGGGTGCTGGTTATTGTGTTCAGTGGAGAGCCACATTGCTAAGCTAAAAGAAGCCACCGCCCCTGCGCCATCATTCAATTCCTTAACAAGCAGCGGCATTAAGTCATACTCTGACGATGCTCGTCGTATATTCTACCAACACTTTTCTTCCCCGCAACTCTTTTCAATGGTGAAGGAAGATCATGGGGCAAGCATGAAGCTCAGGCTTCGGGCGCAGCTCCTTGAAGAGGAAGGTCAGTCGGTTTACTCGCGAGGCGATGAAACTTTCTTCGGATATACGCTGGGCAGTCACACTTGGAAGAAGATTTGATTCTTGTGTATACTCCAGGGTCCATCAGCCTGCCAGGTGTGTGTGGACTATGCACGGGCTTTGCCGCGGAGCATATAACGCTTTCGGGACACGATGCTTGTTGCAGGAATTATCCCCACGATGCCAGCAGCTGTTGACAAGACAGTGACTGAAGAGTTGAGGAAAATTCAGAACAGTGTTCACCAAGGCAAGCACATTCACTTACAAAGGCTTGCCGATTAAAAGTACTCTGCATTGGTTCTGTGTCCCCTAGCTGAGAGCGTTTTTTTGACGTATGCTTACCATATGCTCTGCTGCAGACGGCAAGAAAGCAAAGAAAGGCAAGTAGCCATCCACCTGAACTACCACGGAGGCAGAATTTTTGAAGGCATGCAGAATAACGGTTAGCAATGCCTAGCATACATCTTGAGGACTCCTCTTTTTACTGCTTCAGCGCCAAAGTATGGCTTTCTCGATGTTTGTGGCAAGGATTGCTACAACAAGACGAACACCAAAGCGGGAGACGGTATGTCGATCCCCACATACACCCTTGCGTTTGGTGCTGTATACACCATTCAGAGCGACCTCATCCTCTCCAGATGAATCAACTTCTGCCAACTGGCAGTACAGGGTCCAAAGCCTGAGCTGCACATCTGCGCTCATGCGCGCCTTCATACCACGCCTCATATCCTGTGTTTTTTATTGCGTTTATAGTGATGACTAGTGTCGTTTATTCACTAGACAGCACATTGACTCGGTTGAACAGCGCGGCTTACCGTGGACTCACACTAAGCGCCACTTTCTTCGGAGGTCTTGGCCATCTTCCCTCTTCAGTAAGCCTAGCTGGATACAAGTGCAGTTTGGTTATGACACTAAGCTTACTGTTGCGAAGTTTCTAAGCAGTGGTTTGTCGGAGGCGCAACGATTATTTGTGCATGCATCTCTCAGTCCCAACAGGGGGCAAACGGCAATTTCCAAGAGGCACTGGAAACTGTCTTAAACCTCTGGAAGGTTGACACGAACAAAAAGCGTGGAAAAGCGGACACCGTAGATGAGCGTATTGTCACAGCAATCGAAAAATACGCTGTGGGATTGGAGCGCTTCGTCAACATACTTTTCCAATCACCACGCACACAGCACCTGTACCACCTTGCGGCTCACACATGGGTGCAAGTGCGTGCCGTCCGCAACGCTTCCGAAGGCTTTTTGCCTGGCAAGGTAGCCAAACTTTCTAACAAAGACAAGCAAGTTGGCGCCATATTTTCTAAGCTCTGGTTCGAGATGGACCTTGCAGTCCGACAGCATGACAACTCTCTCCTCAAGCCATTCCCTGGGATGATGGCGTCGTTGATGCTCCAAGTCGGTACGTTTGCATATGTGAAGCTCAAACCCCTACTACGTGTTAAAAAGTGCTGCGTGACATAAAGACTAATAGCCTCAATCCATGCATATCTCATTAATAACTTCGAAGCTTGATGTTAAAAACACCTAGTAAATTGTGCTTCTCCATGCAGAAATAATGTTTCACCGTTTATTTGAAATCTCGATTTTTCTCTTTGCATTCATCAAATTTATATACTTTCTGCCCTCCGCTGGATTTGCAGCTTTCTTTCTGCACACAGTCGTTGAAGAGTTCCAAACTAATATTTTTAAGCGCATGGGGGCTGCCGTGAAATCATTCTTCGCGGGGATGTTCAGAAAAAACAAGAAGATGAAAGTTCCAGGTTCTTGGGCTCAAATTGAAGAGAGAGCTGAGGCACAGCAGAGAAGCGACCCTGCAGGGTTTCAAGGCGCCCTCCATGCAATCAGGCAACTTTCGAGCATGTTTCACAAAAGGTTCCTCCAGCCACTTATCGATGCACAGGCGTCTTCCTCTATTGCACCCGCATACATAGCCTTCATTCACGGTATTGTTGGGCAGTGGATGGTTCCACATAGTGAAAAGCTAAGCTTAAGTGATCCACGCATCCCCAGGGCAAAGAAGATATTTTACTACAACATTTTTTCACATCGTGAGCTAAAAGCTACACCAGTTGCTTCCCTACCTATTTCTGTGCGACCACCTGTTTCTGACTTGATACATTTTAACAGTACTGAATGCAATAAAAGCAGTGCGTTGGCTGTTGCTTTCTTCTGATGTGTTCAGCTCAGGGTTTAATTCATGTGGCTAAGGAATTAGTCAAAAGCGGCTGTGCAGGTAAGAAAGCCTTTTTGCCAGTCACTGGGTCCCTTACTGCTTGTTATTTGGTCAGCGTTATTCAGCGCCATGCAGCGCGCTGGCGGCCTCAGAGCGTCTATTAGAGCGAAGTGAATGAGCGATGCAGGCGTCAAAAGTATTGACATGGGTAGAGTCGTGGCAACCATAGAGTCGTCAGGGAAAAGGCAGACAGCCGGCACAACAATCCTGAAGCTACGACCTGTTCCTGTCAAGCCATCTGACTTGGAGTACCACTTAAGCATGCTGATGGCGGCGTACTCTGATCCTATCGATATTGTTCGGGTAGCCCAAGATCTCGCGTCTCGATGCAGGGCAAAGATTACCCCGACGCTGCCTTCTGAGCCCCAAGAGCCAGTGGCTTCGAAAGACAGTAAAGGAGCCAGGCGCAGTAAATCAGTATGCTACAGGCCGAGACGCTCTTCCTATATACCCTTTATGCGAGGGCACTGCTTACTGCCTCTTTAACAGCAGCTAGTATCACGGAACTGTAGGGGAAAGGGTGCGAAAAATGCAGTACTTACCTTTTCGTTACTCTCTCAGCCTAAACAGCCTAAAAAGGGAGAACCGAAGGACGAATTGGTTGCCCAAATTCTCAGCTCGAAGTTTGTCCTCGACAGTTGGTGTTTGAAGTACAAAGGTGAGCTTTTCTCGCGAGCCCTTGGCGCCTGTTTGCATGTTCTAGGATCGGTTTAAAAGGAAAAGGGTACCTGCAACAGGACGACTGTGCTGGTATTCACTGCAGATTTCGTCATGCAAAACATGGCTGGGGTACCCAAAACAACTGATGGCAAAAAGCTCTTTTTACTTTTAGAAGGAGAGCTGGATAAAACAGTCGAACTTGTCTTAACGCCGTCTTCAATAAAAGCTTCCTGGGTGATGAACTTGAAGTGCCCATTCATGAGGGACTTCGTCAATCCAGACTTACGGAAAACTGCAAGGGAGGGAATGTTTCAGTATGCACTTTGTACGCCAAGCAAGGCAATTTCCACTTCATCCAGCATCAAGCCACTTCCGAATGCTGCCGACACTTGTTGAAAGACGCAGCAGCGCTGAGAATGCCGCTAAACGTCTCTTCTGTGCCACGGAATAAGCTTTCATGTTACATTACTGGCTCTTGGTGCTTCCTTGTGCTGCGTGGCAATGTCGCAGCTCGTCGCAGCCTTAGCAAGCGACTTGGTCGCAAGCTGCGATCCATAGGGAACTTCTTTTCAAAGAAGTTTACCTGGAAGAGGAAGAGCAGCCCGGGAGCAGCAGCGAACAACGAATGGGCCATCATCAATGTTGGCACAGGAATTTGGGACTCCACGAGGCATCGTTTCGAGCACACTTTAACGTTCCGGCCAGAGAACATGAGCTGTGGTAAGGAGCTACAGCGCTTTTTCTCTGCTACCCTGTGGCTTGAGCTTTCTTCTGAAAGAGGCAGTGTTTCACCAGCAGCAAATGCATTAACACACCCGAAGCTCTTGCATTCACAGGAACTGGGAAAGGCCCTAGGAGGCCTATAGACTTTCAGGGAGGAAAATTCATTATCGGAAGTGAAGAGCCGGAAGCCGGTGAGCATTTGCTTTGTATAGGCGTCTGCACTAGTAGCTGAGATTCCTTCAGGTTCCTATCGCAATGCTACTCATGCAAGCTGCATTGTGCATTTATGTGTCTCTGTACTGCCTCCTGCACAGAGCAAAAGGCAGTTCTTTGTGTCAAAGATAACACTGAATGTTGGGCCACCGAGAGAGCTCTGATGTTGAAGGGTTCTACTGAACGTAAGCGGATCGAATGCTCCAACTCACTTCACTTGCCACATCACCAAAATCCCCGCATGGTTTCCAGTCCCTAATCTTTTTTCATTTTACAATCGTTTGTGAGCATCGTCCACAGCCCAAAACCCTTCCCAACTGTGCAATCGTTCGGTGCGCGCAGTGCCTGTGCTCCACTCACAAGAACCAGCGGGTCTATGGTACAGTCGGCTTCCAGGCGCAGGCGCCGCCGCGCCCTCTGCTCCATGAAGTCCTAGCTGAGTTTTAGTAACGGCGGATGGGTAGATGTGGATAAGGTGACCTGTGGCTGCTCTGTAGCCCCCAGCTGCTTCAATGAAAATCACGTCGCACGGCGGTGAAGGCGCGTGACGTGGCTGCTCATAGGCCTGAAAGCAGCTCTCCTGCCTTCACCACAGACCAGCAGCAAGCGCAGCCTCCCACCACAGTGCGGAGAAGCACTTCACCACTGTCAGACCCTCTCGTAAATGAAGCCATAGTGCTTGCCCCGAATAGCACCGTAACCCACGCCGCCGCGCAGTAACAATGTCTTTTTAATGTGCTGTAGTTCCCGTGGGGGTTCCTCAAACCCTGGGAAGCGCATTGCCATTGTTTTGGCTCTGTCGCCATGTGCACCCCTTACAATCTTGATTCCAGAGTCCATTTTGTTTCTTCTGGCTGCTTTCGCATGAACTAGTGCATGCAACTTGCCGTGAAACACCGACCGACTCGGCTCCAGAGCACTGAACAGGTTATGTTTATAGGTTGAAGCTGTTGGTGACAGCCGCTGTTTGGCAGCTTGAGCACCGTTTAGTTGCTACACTTTGTCTGCAGAGCCATGTGCGAACCAGCTCGCCTGAGCAATAGCCGTTGCCTTCGCTCGCTAGCAGATGCAACTAACTACGTGGTAGGTCTGATAAGCTCTAATAAGCTAGCTCTTCGGTGTAGTATATATAACCCAGACGAGCTGACATTGTACACTATAAATGTAGTACCAGCCTCATCGACCGGCTCCATGCCGTGTCGACGTGCAGCTACAGCCGCGAAAAAAGCAAAAGCCTCACACGCTCGGTCACGCCCGCACACGAAAAACAAATCGGTCGTCGCGGAGAAAGGGACGGTCACTCCTTGCCGTTTGGCGAAAGTGCCTACAGCGGCAAAGGTATGTTCTGTTAGCTGGTGCTCCTAGAAATTAGCTATAAAGGCTCTGGCGAACCTTACCCACAATGTGAAGCATCACAACCAGCCCCATAAAAACCAGTGCCATAATCAATACCGCCTGTGGCCCTCTACAAAACGCAAACACCGCCGCACCATCAAACGTGTCCTGCGCATGAGCGCGTCTCTACAGTGAGAGTTAGGGCATGTATAGTGGCACTAACTAATCACCTAGACGATAAGGAGAGCATATAATTGAATAAATCTCTTACATGCGCAGCCCTGGAGCGTCTTCTGTGTAGAATTTCAAGATGCCCTGGTTGGTTCCTGCCGCATGGGCGCGGGGTCGTGTGGTTGCTGCGCTGCTGGCAGTAGACGTGGCGCCTTTAGTGGCAACTCTTTTGCTGTATTGACAGCAAGCATACAGCACCAACAGCAATATCAAAGCCCCGTATGCATTACGACGAGAAGCACCAGGGCGCAAGCGACACAAGCAGGACTCTAGTGAGTTTTCGAATTGTGCGTGTTGTCAAATGGCAAGCATTACACCCTACCGCGCAGCAGCAAGTCGCGAGCCGCCAACAGTCGTCTGCGAGGCCTGAGCGCTGAGAGAATTTGTGCCCTGCAACAACAAAAGCATAAGTAGAATCGAGCCCACGCCGGTGGCGCATAGGGTGCAACTGTTGCAGAAACTTTTTGTGCAGCATCTAGCGGTCGATACATGGGCTGCATACAGCCATCAGGCTGCATGCAGCCATAAGACCCTTCGCTGTACAGCAGTCTGGAAGTGAGCCACACAGCCAATTGACCGTGGTTACCCCAATTTGCCCACTCCATAGGTCCTACACCAAGCAAGTATACCTAGCACATACGTCCAGAAGACTTAGCGTGAAATGCTCATATACATAGCAAGCAGCTGGCGCAAAGCAAACGCATTGATCAAAGAAGCATAAAGAGAAGAGACACAAGAAGCATGTGGACGCCATACATCCAAGAGCAGCACATAGCGGTAAGCTGATGCGGCCCTTTCATTCGTCCCCTTTTCTATCTTTCATATTCCACGGAAAGAACGCCACAAATACTATTTGAAAACAAGCTAAGCTGGGGAAGGATGACTTCGGTTCGGCGCATGTCCGTGCTTGTCTCGCAATTTCCGCGTAGTCGTGGGGCAGCCACGAAGCAACTGCTTGCAGAAGTGGAAAAATCAATAGCGAATAGCTTTAGTTGAGGGAAGAGAAAAGCACAGAAAGGCTTAGACGAGGTGATGAAACAAGCAGAGAGGAACAGTGAGCTGTATGACGATCAGTGTGGACTTTTCTACCTACCACCATTGTACGGTCCAGTCGTCTGGGAGACAGCACACGAAAACTCAACAGAGCGCTCAGTTCCCCTATAACACTTTAAATAAATACAAGAAGCGCAATTCAACAAATACGACTAGACAAAGAAGCAGCAAGACGCTCTCTGGCCCGCTTTATTCCCAGCCCCGTCGTCAGCTCAGAGGCTTGCCGTTGCCGCTGCAGACGCGGCTGCTGCGGCTGCTGCCGCCGACCACCGCCAGAGCTTACCTCCAATAAACCCTTACTTCCATCTGTATGTGGACTTTTCTGCGTATCAAATGAGAAAACGGAACCGACCCGAAGAAGAAGGATCGGCTTGCAGTTCAGTTGCTACTATGCGCACCGCACGCGCAGGAGAGACGTTGGAACATAACACTCCCTGTCTCCTGTGGATGCATAAGCTCACGCATATATATCAGCAAAAATTTGCTTCGGGCTACTTATTCGCTGGTATATTTTCAGGCACTTTAGCATGGTGTCGCCTGCAGTCCACTTTTTTCTACACTAAAGGTTCCGTGTGCACCACTTGCATGTGCACAGACGGCTTTTGGTGTGAGGCCGCAAGTACAACTCTCGAAGATATCCCAAATAATTTGAGGTCTAAAGAATAAACGGCATTTAGGAGTGGCCTTGGGGCTTCTACCACTCGAGCTACAGTGCTGCTGAACTCAACGTAACTGAATACCCGCAGCTGTGACGGTCGCAAGAAGCAGCTGCAGAAAGGACGACGTGCGTTTATGTACGCATGTTGCACTTCGTCGTTTGTGAATGCGCTTAGTAGCAGGTGACCCAAGCGTTTTGTGCCTTCAGTGAAGATAGCCGCAGAAATAGATATGGCGGTACTTTAACGCACTGCTAGGCCATAACAATGTGGTAGCTGGCATGGAGACAGCAGTTTCATTGTTCTACTCACTATTGATGCGCATTCTGCTTTACTCCTTGCTAAAGGACGCCGTAGCAAGCCAGAAATTTAAGTCGTGCCTCGCCGCTGGCCTGTTCCGCTTGGCGGCACTCCTAGATATGTTACTGTAACGCGTCCCACCGGTTGCACAGCGAGCCAAGACGGCCAAAACAAAACATACGTGTTCTCTGTGGCGTATACCAATGCATATCTCATTAGGGAATCTGAAATAACGCTTTCTTCATAGCGGCGCCAAAACATACTTAAATTGGTTCCATGTGACCGCCTGCTGTAAACACGATGAGAGTGGAAGAAGAGAGCCTCTTGGAGATAATCGGGTCGCCGTCACAGCATAATGGAAGCCCAGAATATCAACTTGATGAGCACGAGTGCAAGGCTGATGGGAGAAATGACGGTAACAGTAGCCCCCCAAAACTTCTGAGGCCCACTAACAGCGTGGCACAGGCAGCGGCTGCACTCCCCAGGGCTCATGTAGACACAACACTATTCGTTCAAGAAGAGAAGACACCAACAGCATGTACAGACGCCCGAAAAATTTTGGCTATGCCTGCAAGAAAAGAGCTTCTAAGAGTAACGGATAACAGGAAGAGCTCCGCAACGCAAAAATCTCCCAGAAAAGAGGATGCACTGTTGGAGCAAGAGTTAAGAAGCAAAGAGAGTGCAGTCGATGAGTTAAGCTCTGAAAAGTTAGAGGGTGCAGAAGGCTCTCCATGTGCGCCTTCTTGTATTAGCAGTGAAGAGGCCGGGTACTACGTGAATCACGCCGACGGAGAGAACAAGAGCAGACATAACGCGGAACAGTGGGGCCTGCAAACGCAACAGCAAAAGCAGCAACAACTAAAGCAGGAAAGGCAGGGTATTTTGCCACGAGTGATGATACAGGATTCACAGCAAGCTACACAGCAGCACCCACTTGGGGAGCACATGCATTTTGAAGAGCATCTACTGCGTCCAACGCAGCAAGAGCACGATGCAGAAGAGCATCACCAGCCACGAATGCAATATGACAAAGAACCTGGTGAACACCAAAATGAACTTCTGCAACAGCACAAGGAGCAAGAGGAGTGGTGGCGGCAGAACGAGCTGGGAGAGGAACAAGAGCACCAGCAGGTGCACAAAAAACGCACGAAGGAGCTGCACCAAGATCGAGAGCTGCGGGAAGTGGAGCAGCTAGAGCACGAACAGGAAGGTTGGAAGGGCCAAAGTGAATGTACAAGACAGCAGCAGTGGGAAGGGATGCAGCAATGGGAGCAGTACAAGCGGCAGGAAGAGCTTCAGCCCGAGCAAGAGCAGCATGAACAGGAATATCCAACGGAAAAAATCAGGGGCAATCA